CAGCTTTTGCCCGCACCATGGACCGTTGCTCCCTGGCTAGGGAGATGTCCAACTTGGGTGTACCCCGGGATCAGTTGGACAAGTGGACCTGCATTGCCGAGCATGAGAGCTCCTACCGCACTGGGGTGGTGGGTCCCGAGAACTACAACGGATCCAACGACTACGGAATCTTCCAGATCAACGACTACTACTGGTGCTCTCCTCCCAGCGGTCGCTTCTCCTACAACGAGTGTGGTACCAGTTGCAACGCCCTGTTGAGCGACGACATCACCAGCTCCGTCCGTTGTGCCCAGAAGGTCCTCAGCCAGCAGGGATGGTCCGCATGGTCCACCTGGCACTACTGCAGCGGATGGTTGCCGTCCATCGATGAGTGCTTCTAAACTGATTTTGACCCTCAATAAAATGAATGCATAAAACCTATCCTTCTTTGATTATTGATATTCTCAGTAGTATATTCAAATTTATTCTGGATCAACTAAGTGAGGGCCATTATTTCCCTCTTTTGTGGACATAAGTTTTTTCTTTAATGGCGCTCTCCCGCCACACGCTTAGTATACAACAGTGGTTAGGCACACACATATAGATTTTGACACGTGTAAATCAAAGAAGCAAACAAAAATAAATGGTTAACTTTTGTAACATTGTATCATTGTATTATGACCTTTGATATAAACCATTCCGAAAATAAGTAGAGAAGATATCTTAGTTCGTTTCGCTGATTCGCAATAAAGGCAAACTAAGAGCTTAATTCCTTTGTTTTGACCAGCTTTCTCCTAATTTTGATATCTTCCAAGCCACAATTGTACCCTAAAGCCATCAAATTCGAATTCGTTTAATAATCGCCTATCGTGAGCTCAATTTCGAGAGGCCCTAGGCTCAAAAATTTGTATAATCGTTATGACATTATTGTATTTGCCGATTTTTAAGTTCTCTCGCGTTGGAGACGGAAGTTTGCATTATTTGCCAGTAGTTTTGTTTGTATATATTTAAATTTAGAGTCATTGAGCCACCAGTTTGACTGGTTCGGGCCCCAAGTCGAAGCTGATTGGAATTATAATGAATTTGTCTGCGTTTGCATTTTATTTGGCTTTGACCCGCTGTCATTTTTTAGCTGTCTGTCAGGCGAAGCATTAAGTTTACTTTCTACTGCGGAAAAGATATATTTTTTATGCTGTGCTGGCTGTGCTAAAGTTTCTAGCCCCGCGATGATATTTATAGCTTTATCAGTAAGATGAGCGATGGTAAACTAAGCATATTCTGTTCAGCAGATTGGAAAGTATTTCGATCAAACGAAGTAATTAAGAAGTCAAGCTATAAAGAGGCTTTTGATTTTAAAAGTGAAATCTACAAAAAAAGGCAAGATCAAACGTTTGCAATTTGATAATTACCATCCCACTAATTCTAGAAAAAACGTTTCGAAAACCAAGACAAAAATATTCTTGAAAAAGTTTAGCGAGATGAAACTCTCTTGAAGTAGAGATAAAAGTAGTTTTGAATGACTAGAAAGGATAATTCATTTAAAGCAATCATTTTATTGGGGGTCGAATCCAGTTTAGAAGCACTCATCGATAGACGGCAACCATCCGCTGCAGTAGTGCCAGGTGGACCATGCGGACCATCCCTGCTGGCTGAGGACCTTCTGGGCACAACGGACGGAGCTGGTGATGTCGTCGCTCAACAGGGCGTTGCAACTGGTACCACACTCGTTGTAGGAGAAGCGACCGCTGGGAGGAGAGCACCAGTAGTAGTCGTTGATCTGGAAGATGCCGTAGTCGTTGGATCCGTTGTAGTTCTCGGGACCCACCACACCAGTGCGGTAGGAGCTCTCGTGCTCGGCAATGCAGGTCCACTTGTCCAGCTGGTCACGTGGAACGCCCAAGTTGGACATCTCCCTGGCCAGGGAACAACGGTCCATGGTGCGGGCCAAAGCTGGGGCGGCACAAGCCAGGGCAACCAAAACGATGAAGGCCTTCATGATAGAAACTGATGTGGTGTCCCGGAAAGCAGGGCGCTTTTATTGCCGGAAAATTATCTACCAGACCAAGGTGCTATCTCTGGATTATTTTTTATCTGGACATATTTCTTGAAACCGCTGGGAAATCAGACCATATTGATAATTCGGCTGGAGTACTCGATAATATGAATAAAGTATTACGGAAATTCGCTGGTGAATCCCCTTGCAGTTGGCAGTTGACGTCAGGCGGGTCCACCTGCTCTGAATGGATGCAAATTGTTGGAAGCAGCTTTTGCGATGTGGTGCGGAGGACTGTTTGCCTGGCCAATTGGCCTCTGATCGCAATTATGGCCTCTGGCCCATTGGCTTCAATTAGCTTGGGTCCAACAAAGGGCCGGAGCTCAGGGCCCCTCCATTCCATTGTTGCCCCAGTGCGGTTACCCAATCCCAATCCAACAATTGCTTCATTTGTCAGGGCCCGTCAAGGTGTCCAACATCTGTTGATGGCTGGCTAATGTGGCTTTAAAGCGGTTTCCAAAGAAGGAAGACTAAACCCAATGCAAAAGGAGGTGCCGAAAAGAATGTCTGATCGCGTGAAGAAAGAAATTTCTTTTCTTTTTTCGGGTAAGGCTGAAAGTAAGTTGGCCATTCGCTGGGTTGCGTGTGTGGGGAGCACCTACTCCTCCCTTTGGACTTCAGACCTCCAGACCGTGGCCAATGCATAAGCTGTTTAACAATTGTTAAATCAGACCGGAACAGATTTTCTGTAGTTCGGCATACACTCGCTTTTTTATTTTTCAGTCTTTTTTTGGGGCCTGTGGCTGAGTCTTATGACTGTTATTTATTTATTTACAATCTGGTTTCTTTTGTGGCCTCTTCTTTGTCTTCTGGCATCTGGACAAAGTGGCATTGTTACTCGGATTGGGGCTGCTCCGAAGACTTTGAAGTCTCGTGCCGCTGCCAATTCAATTTTCACTTCAATTTTCCATGAGTACAGTTAAACGTAATTTGTTTTCATGCTTTTATAACGCACACGCACCATGTCTCTTTTTTTCTTGGGTTCTTTTTCTTTTTTCTTCGAATTCTCGACAGTTTCTTTCTAACTTGAGATGGCTGTGTGGGCGTCACAGTTCAATGTCAGAGCTGCCCACACGGGGATTTACATATCTAGGTTTGGGCAGCAGTGAAGAAAGAAAGTCGGAGGCCATTAGCATACAAGGCCCAAAAAACCAGAGGCATATACCATCTAGATCTTGACCAAGTGGGTCTTCCGAACGAGCGAAGTTAATGAAAGCCTGACCCTCTGACTTAGTTGGCTTGGTTGGGAAAACTGGCTTACCTATTTTACCTATCCTCTCTGGAGAACCTGGATTCCAGTTCAGGCTCCGAAATCCAGATACAGCTTATTGACCCGATTCCGAATTGGGCCACTGCAGAACGTTCTCAAATTCTACGACGATGATGGTTAGGATCCAGTAAGGCTAACTAGCATCCACACTGCACTTTGCGTCGTCATCGAACAAGAGGCATAAATTGAGGAGATGAGGAGATTAGCACGAAGCGAAGAACTCCGGAGCAAGAACCACTCTTATTATTATGGTGGATGCTGCAATAGGCCAGTTGGGGCCAGTTCTAGCCGGGTCCAGTACTCGTTTTACCGTTAGCAGCAGAATGCACACCACTCGCGATGCTGTTAGCCCAAGAATCAAGGGGGAAGGGGTGATGTTAAAAGGGGGCCCGGGTGCCAATACCGCACTTTTCTATCCAATCAAACTCGTTTCTTCCGAGAATACACAATAGGAAAATTCATATCGCGTAATCGTCAGCGACACTTGATGTTCGAGAGGTGTTTGAAATGGGAGTTCACTACTGTTTGGCTTCCGAGGACCCACTTTGCTTGCTTCGCGATGACCGATCTGTCGATTGAACTTGGCTAGACCTTTTGGACCGTCTAGCTAAGCCATCGTTCGTCTAATTGCTAGCCAAAACCAAGTTTTAAATACGCTTTCTGCGATCTACACGTCCGTCTCGAACTAAAGTCACGCACCAACTGATCCGAAGTTGAAAACTTGGCCTGAACCCAAGACGAGCTTAAAAACCGAAGTCGTAGTTACTTACGAAGAAGAGATCGTAAGAGAGAGAGAGAGAGCTCTCTTATAGACTGGGTGTATAAGACCTCTTTTATAAGACCCCGCTTGTGAGCAACGGTAGCAACTGCACAACTCCGAATTAATGAAGACGGTCAGGCGCCTGAGGGAATCTTCGGCTCGATTCTTGGAGCACGACCACAAACTGTGATTAGTTAGAAGAATGTGCCAGTCCAGGCCCCAATAGAATCGAACCCAATTTAGCAAGTAGAAGTGTCTTTACCAAGAAATCGAAATTATTGTTTACAACTAGCTTACGGTAGGGATCGTTATGACAAAATAGTTTGCTGATATATTCCAAGAGTTCGAACTCGTTAACCTTAGGGAGTTCTAAAAAATTTGCACAGCTGCTTAAAGGCCTTTTGTAAGCAAAGGCGAATTTTAACACTTCCGAATTATTTTTATGTCCGAGAATTTCAATAGAGATAATTACGACTTGTAGGTATGCCAATTATATTAGATCCGATAAAATCTTGTCAAATAAACACTATTACCGATCAAGTCATATCATTATCAAATAGACCATCTAATATATGTGGGATCCCCCGGATTTTACAGATAGCACATACATAGCTGTGGAAACTTATATTACATAAGGATATCTTTCTTTTTTTAATTATTTTATTTGATGACGATTTTAATTGAAATTAATTAATTTAAATCGATAAAATGGTCATACCCATTGTGGTAATTAATAACAATATGAACAGCTTGAGAAGTTAATTTCTTTGACTCAAATACGATAAATATGAATTCAGCTGAAATGCAAGCAACACTTTTACATTGGTTTTATATTTTTGGTTTTGCTACAGCCTGAAAGTATGCAATATATCCGCTGCTGACAAAAGCTGCCTGCGTTGGCGTACACTTAATTTTAATCAGTCTTTGGTTCTGCTCACCTGTCAATAACCGACTTTCCCGCCTCGTACATGGAGTCCAGGGAGTAGTCGTCGCCAATGGAGCTGTAGACATTCGTCTGTGTCCCGGTTGTCCCCACATCGCAGTAGCTGCAGCTGCAGCAGGAGTACTGGGAGCAGAACGAGGAGGCGTCCAAGTCGGTGATGCCAATGGAGCACTCCTCGTCGAGAGGTCGCGGCTGGAGCTCGATCTCCACGGGTGCCTCTTTTTGGGGGGACTCCCCTCGCTGCGAACGACTGCTTGAAGTTCAAAAATTAGTAAGGGTATTATGACACTTGCTTAAGGTGTTATGACACTGGCTTCAAATTCGGAAAACTAACTGGTTTGTGTGTTTGTGAAAGTTATACGTATTGTTAAAATATGTGTCTTATAGCAAACGTAGCCATGTTATAGCAGCTCATTAATTTAAACTGCTTCATAGAATACTACACTGCTTTAAAGACTAAAGGAAATGATTGCTATTATAATCTTAAAACTGGCCGTTGTTACAATAAGTGCCGTATATAATGAAGCAGATCGAATTTTAAATTAGTTCCATCATAAATGTACTTTGTTTTTTAATAGTCAGCTCATCTATATTTTAAGCCAGTGCTATAGCGCCATAGTTTTTTCTAGATCGATACAACTCTGCATCTTACCTCTTGGTGCGTGAGTCCATCGTGTCCATGACCACGTTCCAGGTGCGGTGTATCAAGTAGAGCAGAAACAGCACCCTCGACGTCTCTCCATTGTGTGGCGTTGCGTTATTGGAGGCATTCTGACCGGCTCCCAAGCAACTGCTCGAGCCCAATCGCTCCTGGGTGTCGTGGGTCTTCCGCTGGTTCTGTTGCGGATCGTTGTGGTGCGGATGGCGGGCGGGCAGGGTCTTGGAGCGGTACTCGCTCTGGAGACAATACTCCTGCTTGTGCTGCTGGTATCGCCGACGGGTGTTGAACCTGGAGTTGCCCTCGCCGGCGGCCCCCTCCTCGGCGGTTATGTCCACGCCCCTGCTGCTGCGGTTGCCCATCTTACAGAATCGCGGATCGGCGGCCGTCGTCAAACATTGCCTAATGTGACATGGACATGGACAACATATGTTAGAGTTGGAAGCTGGAAGTGCGCATGGATGCAACGACGAGAATCACAACTGACACAATTCTCCCAACCAGTTTGCCAATGGTCGGCGTTGTAAAAAAGTGAAGTGGCCAGCGGAATTGGGTCAGCAACGAGTTCTTAAACTTGGTATTGGGGTCGCCCCAGAACAAATGCCTGTAGATGGCTCTTCGGATGGCTGCTTGTAATTATGATAAACCATCCATCCATCGGCGAAATGATGGATTGCATGGACCTGTTTGGACTTGATCCTGGACGGCCAAATGGCTCTTCTGCGAGGCGTGGAGGCTGTCATTTCTCGGCACATCTTATGACACGCTATCTATCATCCGAACAGATTCAGGCCAGCCAATCTGCAGATCATTAGTCGGGCAATACATCAAATTAGCGCCCTTGCTCGATTTGTACGCCCAGCACTTGCGGCGTGACCCGAGAAACACCCGAATTGAACCACCTATATACGCTATGTAGAAACCACAACTAGGCTTATCTGCTGCGGCCACTGACGTAGTAAACGTGACCGCTAAATGACAAAACACGATCGCGGACCCAACCACGGGCACTATCAGTGGACACCGGCCGAAAGAGGGCTGGACTTATCAGTGGGGCACAGTAAAAGGTGCTACAGAGGGATTTTCACTTCATAAAAAATGAAGATTATGAAGATTACTCACAGGGTTTCGTTATATGCCCATTGAACAATGTTAAATTGATATTGAACGTTGCCACAATTTGATTGCTCTCTCTTTAAAAATACTTTAAGATCCAAAGATAAGGAGAAGAGCAAGATGGGGACTAAAATTGCCGTGAGGGAGAATCAGATATTCAAAGCTCGAACTTGATTAATACGAAATTTAATCAATCCGGTTATAAATTCTTTTCATATATTTTCTCCGTGTACCTGGGCAAACAAAACTTCACTTCAACCATTAATTAGTTTAAAAAAACATATTTGATTAGGCATAAATTATAGAGCGAGTTCCTAGTACAACTTTCTTGGACCCAACTTTACAAAGAATATGTAAATGTGAGTCATAAAATGGAGCAGCAACCAGTTATTTTAGGGTCTCTTTTATAATGGGTCTAAGCCCTATAGAACCTTTTCTGCCAGTGAAAGTGACGACGTCGAAGTGGAAAGTTTCTTGGACACCCGACACCAGGGAAAAGTGGATAGGTTACGTTGACTTAGGTCGTTAAGTGGAGGGGCTACTGTAACTGAATTAACCGCATCGTAAATATGCCTTCCTGACATGCGCATTAGGCGTGAGAGCTGATGGATTGCCATTGTTCCTCCCCCCAAAGAACCTCAGGAACTCGAATCTCGACTCTAATTAAACTAAATACGGCACAAGAGTTTATCTTATCAACGAATGCACCCTGTACGAACCTACCAGCAATGTTAACTATAGGGCAACCGGCTGCCGAGCACTGAACTTTAAAAAACGAGACCCCATCTGGTTTTAACAGACAGTCGTGTTTGCAACGATCTAGCGAGCGGTAGACTTTTCGCTGTTCGAGAGAAAGGAACCGAGGAACCTGAATCAGAACTAGGCCAGATTAATACTAAGGAGCAGAGTAACTAGGACACACCTCCAGCCAAAATGAGCCAGAGCCAACTGAGCACAGAGCAACTGCTCTTCGAGGAGAAGCCGCTGTATGTGCCCCCATTGTCGGAGCTGCAGAACGGTGAGTTCCGAGTTCCCAGAGATCCCAGATTCGAGATCCCAGAGATAACAATACGTGCCATATTCGCCTGAGAGGCGTGTGCAAATGACCTTCAGAAGAACAGTGCCGAACTTTCCATAGCCGGTTTTTGGTCGGTACTGTTCTGTTAATTCTGTTTTTATTGAGCAATCCAAAACACAAACATATGATTGAACGGAAAGCTTTTGGCTTAGCTTTTCGCTATATGTCGTATAGATGGAGGTCGAGATAAAGCTCTAATGGGTTTCTCCTCTCCTCTCTCCAGTTATACAGGGTGCCCTGAGTGCCAACTTCGCCCAGGTGGAAGTGAGTGTGGGTCCCTGTCCGGACCTGAAGGCCAAGCAGTTCAGCCTGGTGGAGAGTGGGCTGGGTGGCAAACCCACCCTGCTGGAGGCAGGTGGTCCTCCCTTCCTGCTGCCCCTGGTGCAGCGCGACAAGCTGTACAACATCGCCGAGATCACGAGGAAGATCCAGGGTCCTGGCAAGATCTTCGCGGTGGGAGCAGGAGCAGGTCCTTGGCCCATCCGGGGATCCAACTGCGAGGGCATCTTTAATCTCTCATTGAGTGAGAAAGACGAGCTCACGAATGGCAGCTATACGGCCACAGTGAGGGGAGCGCAGGAGGAGTGCGTCCTGGAGAAGATCCCCCACTCGGAACCCCGCTGCGCCCTGCTCCTGAACCTCTTCCTCAGCCAGGGAAAACCCGGTCAGGTCCTGAAAATCAGCGCCAAGCAGCGCACTGGCGAACAGAACTTCATCGAGTGCATTCGGAAGGGTCTGGAGATCCACTACGGCGACAAGGTGGTTGGTCTGGGCGGGATCTTCGTGATCAAGAAGGGTGCTGCCCACCAGCACGTGATGCGGGACTTCAGCAAGACGCCCATCAACAGCGACGAGGAGGTCAACGAGTGGCTCAAGTTCTACGAGATGCCCGCCCAGCTGAATGCCGTGGGCACTCTGGTGACCAAGGAGCACGACCTCGACCTCCGCCTGCAGCACTTCCACTCCTTCTCCTTCGAGAACTGGGGCGGTCACTACCATTACGACACCACCCCGGATATCGTGGAGTACGAGGCGTATTTGAATGTGGCCGAGAGGGTGGTCAGGGTGGACAAACCGGTGGCCACGCACAAGGTGGGACGGGACTAGCTCTTATCTCCCGTATCTAGTTGTAGACGACTTTTCCATTGCCCGAACCCCAAGCCCCCGTAAATCATAGTAAATAAACAAAACATAAGCTCGAAATTAAAAGTGGTCTTTGCTTTGTAAAAACTGGTATATCAAAGGAAATGTATGTGGTTAGCAGGCTCAACCCAAAATAGCTGATGTTTTTAGAGGTTTCTAACTAAATTTAAACTGTAGTTAAGTTTTTAAAAGTATTACCACAATTTAGAGTTCTGGTACACCTTCTTTATCACAATATAAAACTAAAATAGAAAAACCACAAAATTATATGTGTCAGTGGAAGCCCTGTATCAGCAGAACAGTATTATCATGACAGGCGTTCGAATAGCTGACATTTTTACCAGACGATGGTATTCCATTCAGTCAATGCTGTACCTCCAGCAAGGCAAGTCCCTCAAATCATATCGAAATATTTGCAGAGATAAGATGAGCCAGAGTCACCTTCAAACGGATCAGCTGCTCTTCGAGGAGAAACCACTCCATGTGCCGACCCTCTCAGAACTACAAAAAGGTGAGAGCTACTAGAAAGAATATTTGATAAAAATTGTACTGAGCTTTTCTTTTGCTCTCCAGTTATACTGGGTGCTCTGAGTGAGAACTTTCGAACCGTTGATGTTAGTGTGGGACCTTGTCCCGATCTAAAGGACCCCCAATTTGGCCTGGTTGAGAGTGGTCTGGGTGGTAAAGCCACTCTACTGGAAGCAGGTGGTCCACCCTATTTGCGACCTTTAGTGCAACGTGATAAGCTATACAACTTAAAGGAAATTACTCGCAAGGCTCAAGGTCCTGGAAAGATTTTTGCTGTGGGACCAGGAGCAGGTCCTTGGCCCATTCGTCATTCCAATTGCGAGGGCATCTTTAATTTTTCCCTCAATGAAGACGATGAACTTACCCAGGGAAGCTACACAGCCACTGTGAGGGGAGAAAATGAGGATTGTGTTTTGGAGAGGATTCCCCAGACCGAATCCCGTTGCGCCCTGATCCTAAATCTGTTCCTCAGCGAAGGAAAGCCAGGTGAAGTTCTCAAAATATCCGCCAAACAGCGAACTGGTGAGGATAACTTTGTGGAGTGCATGCGAAAAGGTCTGGAGAAGCACTACGGCGATAAGGCGGTGGGTCTGGGAGGGATCTTTGTAGTCAGGAAGGGGTGTGTCCACCAGCACGTGATGCGGGACTTCAGCAAGACCCCGATTCACACCCAGGAACAGATCCAAAACTGGCTCAAGTTTTACGATATGCCCGCCCAGCTGAACGCCGTGGGCACTTTGGTGACCAAGGACATGGGTTTGGACTTAAGGCTGCAGCACTTTCACTCGTTCTCCTTCGAAAACTGGGGTGGTCACTACCATTACGATACCACCCCTGACTTGGTGGAGTACGAGGCCTATCTGAATGTGGCTGAAAGAGTAGTCCGTGTGGATAGACCAATAGTAACCGATCAATTAGGAAGAGACTGATATACCTATCCATCAATCTGCCCAAAAATAAACGTCTTCTGGGAAAATGGTTTCGGTTTCTTTCTACTCTTTTTTGGATCACCAACTTGTGGCTCGTTTAAACCGCATCATTTGTGGAACGAACCCCCGGGGAACAAGCTTTATGTAATTGCCAAAAATTAGAGCCAACGACCAGCCGCTTTCTTCGAGATGCAAATCGATGGCTAAATGATCTGCACACCATTCCGAGATTCAGGTGCTATCTTTATGAGTCTGGGGCTGCTGGGGTTCTGGAGCTTCATGGTTGGCCTAATGAGAGACGCGATACGGACGTCTAGCTAAGCAGGCCGTAAATAATGCCCCAAACATGCAGCTATCTGTGTTTTTCTTTTTGCACCGCTGGCCATTAATTATTTAATAACTTTGATTCATGCAGAGCAACGGGGTGAGTGCATTGGCGAATTCAGCCAGTAAAACGTTTTTATGGATTTCTCAGACTAGCAGGGAATACCGAATACCAACCAGTCTTTTGTGACAGTTACAATCGATCATATCGACAGATCTATAGATAGATAGAAGATAGACTTACCCACTCCCGCTGCGAGTCTCCCAAAAACTCCTATTGTTTCGGATCGGCTGGGCTCTTCTTAACGGGTTCCCAATATTTGCATTCAGATATTTATTATTCCAGAATCTTGTGACTGGCAACCTTTTTATGAAAGTAGCACTCTTAGCCGAAACGCGCACACAAACATAACAAATAAACCAAAACCTCCATCGATTTGATCCAATTTAATCTACTGGCCAAGACGGCGGTGAAATGCAAATGCGATTTCTTCGTCCCACGAAAAAAGAAAATCTCTTTTTGTTATTGCTATAACCGTTGTGGTTGTGGCATTGGTAGCTTTTTTTGTAACCGTTTTTGTGGCCCAGGCATACTCGGTTTATTCATATTTTAAACACACCATTAGCACTTTTTATTAGCTGCCTCGCTTTGATTGACTCGACTTCCACCCGATCTTCACTTTACCAGACGACTATACCTCGGGTGTTTTGATTTTCGACTTTGGATTACTTTTAGTTTTGGATTCACTATACGAACGCGTCTGGTCGGCTGAAACGCGAGTTGCAGACTGAATGAAGTCCGCGATCAGATGGCTCGACTGAAGCCACCGGTTGGAGTAGCTTTTCACATGGCACCGCTGCTCTTCAGGCGCGTAGATGGCGAACTTGTTTGGGGGATTTCTACAAACATCGGTTCTATCCGATCATGCACGGGGGAAAATCAGAAGCCCTGAGATGAAGCGTGGCTTTTCAAGAGTATCACTTCAAAAAGTTACCGGTTAGAAGATAGAGCTACATACACATGTTGCATTTTTATGATAAGTAAGGGGAAATCTTTATGGGTTCCAAAGTGTTGCCAAAATATATAAAAATCAGGTCGACTAATTGTATAATCTTCTCAAAAAGTTAAAAAATAAATATTTACAATGAGTTTCTCAGTTGGAAAGGCGAAAAACCTAAAAATACATTTTATAACATCTATTTTGCACTATCCAATGCTGACACGTTTTTCTTTCTGTGTGGAATATAAGAATAATTAGTTTTACAGCTTTTGCCATTATGCCAATCATTTTTTTGGTACTTAAAAATATTCTTGGTGCTATCAGCAAAATAACCACCTTAGCTACATATCTTATATGCAATATCCTATATACATCATTTAAACGACAGATTAAAGCCTCTCCAGACCCCTTTTCACATCGGATCATTTTGACAAGTCTATTGCCGCCACTGCTGCTCCTCTGATAAATCAGGTTGGCTTTTCGGCTGGTCTGTTTTACAAGCGTTTTTAAATTGAAATTGTCGTTTAATCTGTAATTGGCCACATTTGTTGATAGAGCCAAGACGCCGGGCCAGTCGACAAGTGCATCAAGCGAGTGCCGCAGCGATTTTCCCAACCCAACCCCGAAACCAGTTCCCACAGCGATCCAAACCAAAGTCGCTGCCAAGGCTACTTGGGGTATGGTTATCCATATCCATTTCCATTAAAAGCGACTCGAATTTAGTTAGTTTTAGTTTAGTCGCTGCTCCTGTTAAATTGCGTTGCCCAAAGGCAGATTGGGCCAGGCCCACCACCTCTACAACTCGTTCAATGAACCACCTCCAAAGAAAGTAGTCAAAGCTGCTGGCTGACTTCATAAAAATTGCATAATGATTGATGCCCCGAGGCTAACTGATGTATCGCCATTATAATAGCACAGCAATTTATTTTCCATTCCGCGGGCACTTTACTGAAAATGTGTGATTGTTTTTTTTGGCACAGATCCGGAATGTGCATTGAAACTTAAAAACTAATGCTAAAATCCAGAAGAGAACCTCTGGGCTATCATAAGAAGTCCAGCACACATCAAATACATTTTAGAGATAAGTTAGTATGAGTTAATCTTCAAGTAATGCTACAGTTACCTTTACTTAGGTAGGAAATACAAGTGATACTTTATATTGCGAGCCATACCATTTTATGATAAACATAAAATTTTATTGGTGTCAGTATGCCGGCACATTCAATGATTTTGGTTAAGTTAGTAGCTGACTTTCAGGCTGCTTGCATTTTATTTTAAAGAAATAGTATATTTTTGGGATGCTGTTATCTTCTATATACTAAGTCTATAAATTAGCAGTACTTAAAATCGCGTTGCATACTTTTTAGAAATATTAAAAAAACTTCACTACGGTACTCACCCCTTTAAGCAATACCAAACACACAATCCTCTTTGATTTATAGTTTCTTTATATATTTCTTTTGTATACATATACAGTATATATTCGTCTGCTTAGAACTGGGCTTTTATTGAGAATACTTGAAAATGTAGCAGCTGGGGTTCGATATTGTTGAGTCTCGTAACTGAAAGATTGACATAACTAAACTAAGGTTACACGAAGATCTCTAGATTACTTTGGCCTCACTCTATTTTGTGCTTTTGCCAGGATAGGGAAGTGGTTACAGTGGGGTCTCGGCTTCCAAAAACCAGTCTAAATTAATCATTTCAGATGTAAACAATAGACCCAACTGAGCTACCGACTTTCCGATACAAAACTGGGGGCTCTAGGGAGTTCAACTTATTGGTTGTGCAGTTGTCTATATGTACTCGTGTATAAAGGGGGTTCCTATAAAGGGCAACTATTGCTGATTGCTTGAAGCTTGAGTGTCAAGTGGGAGCTTTGAACCAAAGTTAACTATTTACATGTCTAAGATCTTGCACAATAATTAGGAACGGGTAAATGATATTAATCTATAGCTAGGGTTTCTATTGCGAGCTTATTGAATTTGTTTGTTAAGATCTCTTTGAAGAAGAGCAAATATTTCTTGAGATTTATCTTCTTTTTTATTCGTAATAACCGCACAAAAAATATATCGTATTGATTAATGAGTTCTTCGACTAGAAGCACAAACCGCAAATCTTGCAAGCCTACTCAATGTAGATGTCCTCGATGGGATAAGCGGTCTCAATGAATTTCTGGTAGAATCGCTGAAAAGCACGACTGAAAGAAGGAGGGTATATGAGGTATGTTATTCGGGGGCTCACTGTACCGGGACTTACCCCACTGCCTCGGCCACTGGTCTGGTGGACTCGGAGCCCTTGAAGACGTGACAGGCGAACCGCTGAACCGTGGGATGTTTGGTGATGAAGCCAATGAAGCGGTGATCGCGAGGGTGAAATGCGCAGAAGGATACGTTCTTCAGGGAGTAGAAGTAGTCGATGCAAGGCTTCTTGTCCTTTTTGTTTTGCTGTTAAGGGAGAATAGAGGGTTTATTAAATTTATTTGTTATGATTCCTTATAAGGAAAATGTGTGTTATTGTGCTTGGTGCTACATTAGTTACATTAAATATACCATCCTAGACCATCATTTATAAAAGTACCTGAAAGTATGCATGATAAATGACTTTGCATACTCTTAGCCACCGTTTAAAAATGGTATCAAAGTTCTAGTGATTTTCTTATTATTAACCAATATCCCCTACTCACATTCGGGCCCGATCGATCCACCATGCGCAGTCCCTGGTCGGAGACCTCCAGGATGCAGGTCTGTCCGGTGGGTGAGTTGCCGTACTCGCCGACAATCTTGCGCACCGCCTGGCAGACAACGCCCGTGCCCTTGTGCGCCAGCGTCTCCACGGATCCGAGGTAGCCCAGTAGGTAGCGCTCCTTCTTCACCAGCTGCACCGTGGGATCGAACTCGTTGTAGTCCAGGTCGACGGCGTAGGCCGAGGGGAAGATGCCCTGCCTGCCGGTGCGCAGGTTCACGCCCTCGCACCACAGGTCCTCGGCCTCCTTCTGCACATAGACGGCGTCGCCGATCTCCAGCTCGATCTCGTCGTGGTGCCGCGGCACAAACTTGTGCAGGCCACGGTGGGTGGCCTCCAGCATCTCCAGCTGGCCGAAGGGCACGCCCCCAAAAGGCGGCGGGAAGGGGGATTGCGAAACGGGAGACGTGATCTGCGGCGACATGCTCTTGAAGTCATTTGGGGAGTGCGCGGTGCTGTGACCACTGTCCACGTCGCCCAGACTCTGCATCCTCTCCGAGTCCGGACTGGAGTCCTCGTCCATCAAGTAGCCGCATTTGAGGGACAGGAATGAGCGCTGTTGTCCGCTCCGAGCTGCCTGAGGAGCTCCTCCTCCGCCACCACCGCCATTGCGGAACTCGTCTGCCAGGGAGCCAAAGTTGGAGCCACCTAGAAGATGCAGAATGGAAGCTGCAACGAGGCCATGAGTGGGTTAGCCCGACACTACGAAGGGAGTTAGACTAGGACTGTCCGGTTAGTAGAAGGTACTAAAGTCAAACCATGAAAGTTAAAGAAACTACAAGGGAACTAGTAATTTAAAATCTTTTTCCAAATATGCCTAAGAGTATGCTGTTATATTTATACATACATCTCTTCGCATTATTTCTTCGGGATGTTGATTAAAAATAGATTGCTGCATACTTTTAGACACCTTTTCAAGAGACCTATAAACCATACTGTTACTATTTGTTTTTAACACTACACCAGTATATTAATTTAGATAAGATGCTACAAAATATGAGTTTTTAGGACCGGACTAGCCCCATAAGACTACTTGCATGCAGGACACTCTAACCAGGATCTAAGTTCCCCATCTCACTTACATTTCTTGTTTTTGGGTATTTCGGGCAACTTGCGACGACGACGGGTGGCGGCCGAATTCGGGGCCAGCAGATCTGTGCTAGCTCCTATGGTCACAGGAGCACTATTGCCACCCAATCCACTGGTGTCCATGCCCAGGAAGCCACCAATCGCATCCTGGTGGTTCAACGGGTGATGTCGGTGCGAGTTGAAGGAGTCGTTGGTGTCCAGGGAGCCATCCGAGGACAGAGTGACCTTCAGCCCATCGCCCAGCTCGTCGTCCTCCACTTGCCGCATCTTGGGCTCATGGTCCACCAGGCCGATTCCGTCCTCCTGATCGGAGCCATCGCCGTCGCTCTTCGAGGAGTGCGAATCCTCCATATCATCGTTGGGAATTAGACTGTAAAAGGGATTTCATTGATGAGTGGATTGGAAAATGGTATTCGAAATGGTTTTGAAATCACATTTTTGTAAAGGTCACAAAGTACGCAGTAAAAAAATGATATCAACTTATGGCTTGGAAATACATTGTAGCATACTTTTAGACTCCGTTTTAAGTAATTTAAAACCTTAGTGATGTATCACCCTCGAAAAGTTTTGTTTTCGTTCTCAAACTTGCAATACATATTTGTCTTCAAGGATACCGACTACATTTTTAGGGGGTGCTCTTCGGGACACGTGCAGCTTCTTGGCCTCCCGTTACTCCCATCACTTCCTTTAATTGATCCCAACTATAAACCTTAACCTTTGGACTTACGAGTAAAATGCATGGGGATTATTCTTCTTGCTGCCTGCTCCAGATCCGAATCCTGCAATCGTGTGTGGCTCAAATATGGGCCTGTGGAACTCCTCGAACTCGCTGTCGGCCATGTCGATTTGGGTCCTGGGCTCCGGCCAGCTGCCACGCCCACAACTACAGGCTAGCTGGGGCTCTTAATGAGGCCGATTCGATTTGTTTTTCGTTGGAATTTCACTTGAGTATCAGGAACTCTAAAGTTTTCTGCCAGCGAAGTCACTTTTTTCACTTTACATGCGAAAATCGATAATTTCCTTGACGTTGCTGGCGTACTTGAGTGTCCCCGTCTGAATTCCAGATGTGAGTGGTGCCATATAATGCCTTATAGTGGAGGCCCGAGCCAGGGAAATTTGGAACTTTCAGCTGTCAGGCGTAAGCTCTCTCACTCTCTTTCTCTCTCTCTGGTGGAGAGAGTCCAACTTGTTTTTGTTTACCGCTGGCAGGGCAAAGGTTGGGGGGTTGGCGGCATCCCTTGGGGGTTGACAAGTAGCGCGCCTGCGCAGTGACTCACATCCGCTCCCCGTTCTTAAAAGGGGGTGACTTAAGAATTGCAATGCTGTTGCGCTTTGGGCACGAACAGCCAGGAGCGGATTTCGCAAAAAAGGGGGTTGTAATCCCTACCTTATGGGCCAAAAAAATCATAATTTTATAGAAAATATGGAGTGTCATACCTTGCCAAACTCGTAATTTAAATCCCTATCGTTTTGCATTCAAATCAGAAAAAAAAATTTTTCAGACCATTTTTGCAAAAAAATGTGATGTAACCCCTTATGAAAATCTCGAAAAATGACAAGGAACTATATTTTTCTTAATCAGTCATAAAATGATGAGGATCGATAACTAAGGTCATCAGCTATAAAAAACAGGCGTTATTTTCATTGTGGAGCCATTTTTAAAAAATGTATAAGAAAAGACTTCCGGAAAAAATCGTAATTTTTTCAGGTAATGAAATCTATGTCTCGTCTAAAAGTTATGGCATATCGACAGTGTGAAAATACTTTTCAGGAAAATACACATCTAGTTAAACCAGTTACCCCATGAGCTATAAGTATAGGTAATTCAAGATAAGCTTCTTTAAATTTCCTTTTCTAAGAAATTTTCTTGGCGTTAACTTATTAGTATTTGCAGATAACTCTGTTTAAGTGAGCAAGAATATTATCAACGAGGGCAATTGTTTAAACAGTTTTAGAAAATGTTGCTATCTCCAAGTGTATAAATACTCTGAGACAGTGGATCACTATAAACAATTGTAACTTAATATCCAACACAATCACTTCATAATGAAATCCTTCCTGGTGATTTGCATCCTGGTTCTGACCTCATCAGCTATCCTGGCTCGAAAGATGGATCGATGCTCCCTGGCCAAGGAAATGGCCAAGCTGGGAGTGCCTCGTGACCAGTTGGCCAAGTGGGCTTGCATCGCCGAGAGGGAGAGTTCCTTCAAAACGGATGCAGTGGGAAGGTCCAATCCCGATGGGTCCATCTCCTATGGCATCTTCCAGCTGAACGACCTGTACTGGTGCCAACCATCCAATGGGAAATTCTCATACAACAGCTGCGGTACAAGCTGCAATAAGTTCCTTAAGGACGACATAAACCAGTCGGTGAGATGCGCCCAGAAGGTACTGGATCAGCAGGGATGGTCAGCCTGGTCCTCTTGGAAATCCTGCATTGAAGGCCTGCCATCAATCGATAGTTGCTTTTAAAAGGCTGTTGAATATGTCACATTTAATCTGGACCTTTATGACACATATATATTTACTTTACTTTCTTTAAATACCGATAAAAATTATTTAATATTTGAAACATAAATTTACTAGATTCATTGGACATAATTTGAAAACTGCATTATAATCACATACTTTATTTCTATATAGTTCATTTTATTGTCTTTGAAATCTCTTTTCTAACGGAATACATATAATAAACCGTTTTACCCTGTTACTGAAAGGTAGAAAGAGTATTCTTGCACATCTACTGCAATGAGGTGACAAACCCCTGTAAATGATAGGTCTTCTTTAGAGGGGGATTACTAGGAAATCTGCTTTCGATTTACGCTGACCACATATTTATAGATAACTGAATTCTTCTTCTTATCGCAACAGCACATTACTAACAGGGGGCTTTGTTTAATGTTGATTTCATTACTCAGAATTTCGAAATCTTCTAGTGTATAAATACTGCGAGACAGCTGGCAAAGTCAAGTAATATTTTATAGACATCCAACTCATTCGGACCACAATGAGGTGTTTTCTGGTTATTTGTGTCCTGGCTCTGGCTGCTCCGATTATTCTAGCCCGCACCATGGATCGGTGTTCCTTGGCTCGGGAGATGTCCAATCTCGGAGTTCCTCGTGACCAACTGAGCAAGTGGACCTGCATTGCGGAGCACGAGAGTTCCTATCGAACTGAAGTGGTCGGTCCACCCAACTCCGATGGATCCAACGACTATGGAATCTTCCAGATCAACGACCTCTATTGGTGCCAGCCTCCGAGTGGAAGGTTCTCCCACAACGGCTGCGGGCTGAGCTGCAATGACCTCTTGACCGACGACATTAGCAGGTCGGTGAGATGTGCCCAAACGGTCCTGGGTCAACAGGGATGGCCTGCCTGGTCCACCTGGCACTTCTGCAGTGGGGATCTGCCTCCAATCGATGATTGCTTCAAATAGGGTATCCAATACGTCGAAAAAGATTTATAAGTGTGACACACATTTTATCTTGTGCAATATTACACTTTCTTTACGAACTTAAATTTGCATTAAATAAAAAAACAGATATTTTATTCATTGTTCTTAATGAAAGTCTTTTTATTGCGTATACATTGTAAATTTTAGGTTTATTTAATACTGATGCAATTACCCTTTCCAATCCTTGAGTTAAATCCGAGTCACAGCTCATCCCTTCCAACCCCCGCTCCGAATTAGCTGTCTAAGTTAATTATTCCGAAATCAAGAGCTGCCATTCATCGCGACCTCGACTCCGTTCCGGACTCCATCTCCGTCTGGGAGACTTCTCAGCGGAGCAGGAAGCAACCTCCATCCCCTGGGGCCACCATAAATCCTTCAGCTCGTGGGCAAATACATAGAAAGTGGATGGCTCCTGGGAGCCAGTCGTTTGTCGGTCAATCAGTTAGCCAGCACCATTAGGTTTATCGCTTCGGCTGATGAGTTGGGTAGAGGGATGCGGTGCGATGCGATGCCCACGCATGTGTTTAGTGGGGTTTTCGCATATTTTAATAGTCAAGTGGAAGTGACTCTGGTTTTTCCATCCACCCACTGCTTTTGCGGCTCCCCTGGCGCTATTTGCTTTTCTCGAAGCGCAAACAAAGGCCCAAGAAAGCGGGCGGAAAGAAATTGCCATTTATCTACTATTGACTCTGTGGAAGCATCAAGTGGTTGCTGGCTGTGTTGGCGTGGAAAGCGCTTTCTTTTATGGCCCCGACTCTCGGATTGTCCAACTGAACTACCTAGCAACCCATTTATTTGACCACTCTCAGTGTCGCAGACTCAGCGCTTTTCCCAACTAACTTCATATTGATTTTATCTAGGAGGAGTTTTTTCGTATTGTTGCAGGGGTTTCACTAGGTTTTCCTTACGGTACACTAGTTACTGCCATACCAGCATAAATTAAACGCCTGAATTTGAAAGTCAAGCACAGAAGTCTGTCTGTCTGTCCACCAGCCCCGAACCCGTGACTTTTCCCTCATTCAATTGAAAGTTGTTGCTGCTGATTAGAAAGTGAAATGGCGATCGTATGGTGAATTCTGAACACCCTTTTTTCATATTATAACTTAACAAGCCTACACTCAATAAGGTGTCGAAAAGTATGCTACAACATATTTTTAATCCGAAAATCCTATAGATTCCTCCTAATAACAATGTTTGTGTTTTATACTGCATACTTTTGGACACTTCTATGAGACTAACATCTATGTTTTAAGTATAATAAAAACTATTTTTTTAGTACTCAAAATTTGAAAGCAATTGTTAGGCCGACATGTATTAAAATATATTTTCTATATTTTACAATCTACCTTCAATTCAAACCTTTTCAAAGAAATTAAAGGACTCTCAAAGTCAGGGCACGATGACGTCATGCGTTAGCGTTTTGGCCTGACTCCAGCATGATTTGGCCAATCAGGACGTGCCACCCCGAAAGGAGGAGGGTCCTTTTGAATAGAATGAAAAGACTCACTTGTAGCTTTTATATCCTTGAACGAATTTATCTCGCCACGCACACTTAATAAATACAATTGAATATGTATCTGCTGTATAACTCTGCGAGTGTGTGAGTCCTGCGGGCTGCCTATAAAAGGAGGGTCGCATCCGAAGGATCTTGCAGTTGGCGCTGAGTTGCGCATACGACGCGTGTGCCCGCGGATAAGTTAGAAAACGGAGGAGTATCTACCAAGTGCAGTGCAGTGATGAGTGCTTCCGGCAAGAGTCTTCTGGGTCTGTGGCTCTACAGGAGTGGCGAACAGGAGTGGGCCGTCAAGCAGGGAAGTCCCCTGCATCAGCTAAAGAAGGATGCCACTTCCGGTCCAGCCTCGCATCCGAATCTCGCCCGGCACTCCTCGGCTCCTCCTGAGCCTCCCAGGCTGGCCATCGGCGGAGTCAGCCAGGATAATGGCAGACAGCACTCCCCAGGGGAACGCATCTCCATCATCTTCACCCTGCGCAACCAGGTGGGGAATCTGGCCAGGGCCCTGCAGGTTTTCCAGGAGCTGGGCATCAATGTGCTGCACCTGGAGCTCTCCCCGCTGGAGACGGGCACCAACCAGGCGGATGTCCTGGTAGACGTCGAGTGCGATCCGCGGCGACTCGACCAAGTGGTCAAGATGCTCAACCGTGAGGTGGCCTCCGTGAACTACACTTCCGTGAACACCCAGGGCTTGTCCAGGGCTCCATCCCTGTCGGCCTGCTCCAGTTTCGGTGAGTACTTTTGGAGTTTTTAAAAATAATCGTAGTATTTTTTAAGACAAACCTTGTGAAATAGATTTGCTTTATAACGAAAAACACACACGGTTACGAAAGAAACCGTGAAATAAAAATTTTTTAAAACAAATATAGAAATTTTCCTAGTTCCAGCATCTTTATAGATGCCTTTTTTCCCTTATGAAAAGTTAGCTTTCACCAAATTACAATATAAATGTTTCGTATTTCTTTACTGCAAGTTTTTTAGTTTACATGCTTTTTTTCTAACTAAAGATCATCTGCTTGGCATCATCATCATTCCTCCAAAGGCCCATTTGGCCGTCATACATGAAAACATAGCTTTCGGATTTATCGTAGTTGTAGACTGGTTGTCCGAATCCCCACTTCAAAAATGCTACCGGGTTTCCGGAGGCTGCAGATACGAACTGGTTCGATTTTGCACGATTGTTAATGCCCAGCCAGTAATGATTTATTTTTGTAATAAAAGTAAAGCTTACTATAAAAACAATAGAGCACAAGCAATCCAGAGTGGCCACACCATTTAAAATATATCAAAAAAATGAACCATAAGTGATATGAATGAAAATGTAAATCCATTTCGATCAGATTTCGGGGACATGGTGTGGTTTCCTCGAAAGATCTCCGACCTGGACAAGGCTCAGAATGTCCTCATGTACGGTTCGGACCTGGATGCCGACCATCCCGGATTCAAGGACCCCGTGTACCGCAAACGACGAGAGCAGTTCTCGGCCATAGCCAACAACTTTAAGCAGTAAGTGAGATAATGGATTCCACCCTATACACACTCTATAATCCCCACTCCTTGAAAACCCCATCCATCCAGTGGCAACCCCATTCCACGCGTGCAGTACACACCTGAGGAGGTGAAAACTTGGTAAGTTTTGATTGCATTCGACTTTGATTGCCTTAGTATCGATTCATTTGGGCGGTTTTCTAACTTTTCCTGCAAAAGGGGCACCGTTTTCTTGGAGCTCCATCGACTCTACGTGTTGCACGCTGTGCCGGAGTACATGGAGACCTGGCCGGAGTTGGAGAAGTACTGTGGCTACCGCGTGGACAATGTTCCCCAGCTGCAGGACGTGAGCGTCTATCTCAAGCGCAAGACGGGATTCCAACTGCGCCCCGTGGCTGGGTATCTCTCTCCCAGGGATTTCCTCTCGGGACTCGCCTTCCGCGTCTTCCACTGCACCCAGTACATCCGCCACTCCTCGGATCCCTTCTACACTCCCGAACCGTAAGTTTAGTATTATCACCTCTGAAGGCTAACACTTTACTAGCATACTTTGTGTTGCAACTTGTTCATGAAGCTAGTTTATATATCATGAGTCAACTTTTTTAGAGAACAGAGGGGATTTCTGTTGCTCTCTAATGTGAATAAATAAATATTAACAAATATTTTTATTTTTAGCGGAGAATATTAGTTATAAATTATAACTTATAATTATATCTTAGTTTAAATAATCTTAAATAATTATTTTCTAACACTTGGCTTACAGGGACTGTTGCCACGAGCTACTGGGCCACATGCCCCTGCTGGCCAACTCCAGTTTTGCCCAATTTTCGCAGGAGATTGGCTTGGCCTCTTTGGGAGCGAGTGATGCGGATATCGAGAAGTTGGCCACGGTAAGTATTCAAATTCTTTTAGTTTGTTTTTCACTTCAAAAACTGTTTTCCTTTAAGCTATATTTCTTCACTGTGGAGTTTGGGTTGTGCAAACAGGCGGACAGCACTTTCAAGGTTTATGGAGCCGGGTTACTGAGTTCCGTGGCTGAATTGCAGCATGCTATTTCGGCTGACAATAAGATAAAGAAGTTCGATCCGGAGGTGACTTGCCAGGAGGAGTGCATCATCACCTCCTACCAGAACGCCTACTACTACACCGATTCCTTCGAGGAGGCCAAGGAGCAGATGAGGTGAGATGGTTTTACTATTCCAAATATTTTTAAAAAATCTTTACTATCGTATTTTCAAGGGCCTTTGCCGAGAGCATCCAGCGACCATTCGGAGTGCGTTATAACCCCTATACGATGAGTGTGGAGGTCCTGTCGAATGCCCAGAAAATCACAGCAGTGGTCAGCGAACTCAGGGGGGATCTCAGCATTGTCTGCTCGGCCCTCCGAAAGATCTCCGCCACGGATGAGAATCTGGACGTGGACAGCATCGCCAACATGCTCCACAACAGCCTCAATGTGCGAGGTGGTGCATCTGGAGGAGGCGGAAGTCCTTGCAGTCCGGATAACTCAGATAACTCAACGGCAGAGGGGGACTAGGAAGGGAAATGGACAGAAAAGGAAACTAAAGGGAACAGATTCTGGGGACCACAATGCAGTATAATTCACTTGGTATATTATTCAAAATTTTAACATCCGTTGAGTTCTTAGCAAAAATAATTATTAGGATGTTTAATCGAATATAGATTTTAAAGAAATTAAATTGTATTATCAGCGTTAAATCACTTTTAAATATTTCTTAAATTTTCTTAAAGCAGACTTGTGAATTATACTGTACCTACACTTTTTGAATATGCACACGTATCCATGTCTATATGTCTAGCAGTTGTTTATTCAGATCTTAAAGCTATGTAAAAACTATAGTAACAATAAATTTGCAACCTCTCGGTGTAGCTGTCCTATTTCAATATCCTATATATAGGATATGTATCCTACTTGTAGATCATATCACAGTCGCTGTTGATGAGCAGCTTCTTGCTCATGTAGCTGGTGAGGCACTGGACGAAGAAGTTGGGGATGGTCCAGAGGTTGAAGCTGAGGGCCAGGACCCGCCATTGCTTGAGGATGAGCCGGATGT